TTTTTGAAACTCTTTCTGTGTCAGTCACTGTATGAAACAATAAAGACATAGAATTAAGAAAGCCAAGGTCCCTGCTTGCTAAGAGTTTATACTTCACTTAAGAAGATGAATAAAACACTACCTACCAAAAGTTCGTGGTGGAGTCTACATAGGGTGAGTACCAGGTGCAACATAAACCCTAAATGGTATTGACCAGTTAGCTGCTGAAGGAATGAGTGAATTATTTGAATATAAAATAGTCCTCCTTCGGTTCCATCCTAGGCAGCAGAAAGGAACAAAGAGAGACACGCTGGAGTGAGAGAATGCAGATTTGTAGGAAAGAACAGAGTCACACCTACCAGACTCCAAATGTAGCTCTGCAGCTTGTTATATCTTGGATAAATTCTTTAATGACTCCCAAACTTAATTTCTGCAAAATTAAATTAGCTTGACCATGAGAGAAACCTGGCATAGCACACAGTAGGTGATCAGCAAATGTTCGCTTTTTCACTGGAGACCAGAGAGAAGCACCTCCACGCCTCGCACCTGGATCCCTTTGCCTGTGCCCTTCAACACCAGGCAGAGCCCTCCAGCTCCCACACTTAGAGTCAGTTGTGGGTGAAACTTAGATTGAATTTGATTTTTTTTCCCCTTGAGTTGACATAAAGGGGTCTGTCCCTTAATTACTAGTCATTGCCCTTCACACACAAAAAAAAATGGTAACCCGCTCAGCCCATCAAAGCCTGCCCTTTGAAATGCTGAACTAGACAGTGAACAGAAAGTATCTGCCAAAAGGCTTCTTTTCTCCCAGAGATAAAAGCAACATGAAATGCATGTAAGTCCTGCGCCCTTGTTAATTAATCAGGATTCGCATTAAAAGCTTAAACGCCTTTGAAGCAGGAAGCTCAGGGAACCAGGACCTCTTTTCTGTTTTGCAGAGGGGAGATGGGTGGACAGGCCAGCCCAAAGAGGTCTCTGTAGGGGACTGGATCACAAGTTAGTCCATTGCCTTCAGGGACTGATGTAACAGGCGGGGGACAATTGCTAAAAGTGTGGACCACCACATTTGTATAGGTCCCACCTATCGATCAAAGAACAACACAGGGCTCTGAACTGCCAAAGCCTCTGACATAGCCTTCTTCCTAACATTTGTTTGTGTAATAGGAGTTTATAAGAACATCAGTTCATTCACGTAACACGTGTTCACTTGCTTCTGCTATATTCAGGTGGGGACAAAATA